ATTTTTCACTTTTTAGTTCGATGTATTATAAAAGCGTGTATTTTAGTTTTTAACTGTATTTATTTTTTACTTTTTAGTTCGATTAATTATAAAAAAACATTGCTGAAAAAGAGCCGGGGGGATTAGAACCCACGATCGGTGAGTCTGGCAATCGAAAACCCGCGTGTTAGACCGCTCGGCCACGAACGAACTTGACTTAGTGGGATATACTGAGAGTAATAAGCCACTTGAGTCCAAAGGAGAGTTACAAACATACATACAGGTGAAGCTAATATAAGCGTGTTAAAAATATAAAAACATTATTCCGTCAGTCTTCAAATATAAAATTATTATTTTTTTTAAGGTGAAGGGGGGAGAAAAAGTCCTTTATATCTCACAAGGAAAGTCCAATGTTTAATTATTCAACAAAACATTGAGTGCGACCGGTTTCGAAGTAACATCACTTCATCTTCAGGCTCGCCTAGTGGAAAGGAGAATATGTGGTGTAAGGTGTGTTGACTTTGAGCCCACAATATATAAAATAGTAAAAAATAGAAAAAACTCACCATACTCTCCATCCACTAGGGAATACTACAAACCAGTTTCATCAAAACGTGGGGGATGAAATAAATTGTAAAACAAAACAATGTTACAAGTTATAAAGTTAAAAATATTTGAAAAACAAATATTAGTCGATAAAACAGTTAAAAATTTTAAAATATTCAAGACGATACAAAAACAAATTACATACATTAAACAGATTAAAAGATAAGGCCTGTTTTAAGCAAACATTGCTGTTTTTTATAAAAATCTAACATTTTTGAAAGGAGACCTGTCAAGTTAAGGCCTCTACAGGTGGTGGTAAGTACTAAAGAAAAATTCTTGGATAAACTTATGACAGGGTATAGGTAATAAGATGTAAACTATGAGTGAAGAAATATTTATTATTTATTATATAAGATTTGGGCCATGAACCAATCACCAAGTGTATGTGATGTTGTAGGATAAAATAAGAAAGAAGAAGAGATGACTGGGTTAACTGTTGTGAAGCAACTGAAAAATAAAAGAAGAAGAAAAAATGACAGATGTGAAAACGCACAACTTAACCTAGTCCTTAAACATGCACGTTGGTTTTTTGTGGGAAAAAAAAATTACTTACTGAAATGTACCCCTTGCAAGGAAATATGTGAATAGAAATAAAGGGGGAGGTTAAAAAGGAAGTTAGAACGATAAATTTAGATTAGTGTTGAGAAAACTGGAGGAGTTTCTGACATTATCTGGGCATTTAAGCAACCAACAGGATTTAATTTTAAATTTCTCAATATCTCGAGGCTTTCGAAGCTATTAAGAGTAAATCTATGGTAGGAACTATGTAGGATTTCGAAACCTTCAGTTGAATCGAAGTCGTGATTTGAGTCCAGTAGGTGGTTGGCAAAATGTGAAAATCCTGTTGTATTTTGGTTTTTTTTCCCACAAAAAACCAACGTGCATGTTTAAGGACTAGGTTAAGTTGTGCGTTTTCACATCTGTCATTTTTTCTTCTTCTTTTATTTTTCAGTTGCTTCACAACAGTTAACCCAGTCATCTCTTCTTCTTTCTTATTTTATCCTACAACATCACATACACTTGGTGATTGGTTCATGGCCCAAATCTTATATAATAAATAATAAATATTTCTTCACTCATAGTTTACATCTTATTACCTATACCCTGTCATAAGTTTATCCAAGAATTTTTCTTTAGTACTTACCACCACCTGTAGAGGCCTTAACTTGACAGGTCTCCTTTCAAAAATGTTAGATTTTTATAAAAAACAGCAATGTTTGCTTAAAACAGGCCTTATCTTTTAATCTGTTTAATGTATGTAATTTGTTTTTGTATCGTCTTGAATATTTTAAAATTTTTAACTGTTTTATCGACTAATATTTGTTTTTCAAATATTTTTAACTTTATAACTTGTAACATTGTTTTGTTTTACAATTTATTTCATCCCCCACGTTTTGATGAAACTGGTTTGTAGTATTCCCTAGTGGATGGAGAGTATGGTGAGTTTTTTCTATTTTTTACTATTTTATATATTGTGGGCTCAAAGTCAACACACCTTACACCACATATTCTCCTTTCCACTAGGCGAGCCTGAAGATGAAGTGATGTTACTTCGAAACCGGTCGCACTCAATGTTTTGTTGAATAATTAAACATTGGACTTTCCTTGTGAGATATAAAGGACTTTTTCTCCCCCCTTCACCTTAAAATTACTTCAACTCACACATGGCTACCCCCCTTGTCAATAAAATTATTAACTTCAAATAAATCAAAGTATGACTCAAATCGCCATTTTCATTACACTTTTCCGTCACTCAAAGTGCGTCCATCTGTCATATCGCAAAATAGTTTTATGTCGTCTCTACTTTATTCTATCTCGACACTAAATATAGATGCATTCTTGAGTTGCTTTAGTCAAACTGGTTTAGTAATTAGCATAAAAGTGCAATTCTTATATTTCAGTGAATCTGTTTATATAGAATAACCATCACAAACATAGGGAAGGTAATAGCTATTTGTGTATTAAGAGCGAAAAGTGATACTTTGCTGATAGAGACAGGAAGTTGCCCGCGCGACGCGTAGGGGAGCGCGGCTATCTGTCGAAAGTGGCAACAAATTTTTCGCTCGAAGTGCACACAATATTTTTTCTACGATCATACTTTTTTAAGAAATAGATATAAAAACTGAAAATTTGTCGTAATTAATGTATAATGTGTTGCCTATACCTACGTTAATCATGAAAAAAGCAGTTGATATTCAAAGTCCATGTTAACTTGGATAATAAAAAAAAAAACGTAACTACGTACAAATAACTTGAAAATCATTCATTTAAAAAATATTTTATTATATTATAGTTAATTTAAATTGGGCGAGCAACAAAGCTGTCACTTAATGTCAGTTCGCGGAAAACGTCAACTTTGTGGTTGGATTTCAAAATGCAAAAGCCAACTTTGAATAGTGATCTTAGAAAAGTAAAATTTATCTTTGTGTTAAAAATACAATTTGCACATGTGCGTTTAAATAGTGAGGTTTCGCTATTATCCTAATGTTAAACCTTCGAACGTCTAAACTCTATTTCTATATATTTTTATTAATAATAATTGTGAGGTAGCAACAATTTCAGAAACTGTTACCATGTCTTTTTCCATTTTTAACGATTTATCAAATCTTATGGTTAAATTGTATAAGGTTTTGTTTTAAAATGCTTAAATCTATGCTTATTTAATGTTTATTACTAAATCAAGCAGACTAAAGTCAAAAAGTTGCCAAAATATTTTTTGTTTTACACATTCTATCTATACTGAAGCGAGATGGAACTATTCTACTAGGGTACTAAAACACTATAGCAACGGTGGTAATCTACCAATCCAACGGGACGCTATTGATGACGTGCCTGGTCTGTTCTTAAAGCAAACTAATTCTAGTCCAATTCTAAAAGTTTTCAAAGTGACGTCATAAGATGTAGCTATATGCATTGATAAAATATAATATTCATGATGCCAAGATTAATTAGACAGTCAGTGCGCTCCAGTTGTAGGTCCGTAGTGAAGAGACGTGAGGTGAGAGGTAAGAGAGGGGACGAAGAGAAGGATTTTACGGCGATACAATTTTTTTTTGTCAATGAATAAATGTGTAAGCTAGTTATAAAGTAGAAAAATAAATGTGAACGGACAGTTGAACTATTATTGTTTCTCGTTCAAAAGCTTGTTGAATAGTGAGCTAGAAAAAACTATATGTCACGTATTATTACATAATGACGACATATCGCACTAATTCACTGCCCGTTGCGAATTCGACAGAATCTTAGTGGTCTGTCTTGCAGGACCAGGAGTGGTCTTCATTCCAGGCCGATACAATTATATTTGACATTTTAAATTTATTTAGGTACATTATATTCTTAAATATGAATCATAACAATTAATTAAAAAAAAAAAATGAAGTAAGAAATTCCAAAAAGTCTATGGTCTTGATTTTGAATACCCTTTTAATTTCTATGTTGTATTTATGAGTAAAGTATTATAATAAGAATAATAATAATAATGATTACTGTTAATCAAGAAGAGTTGCAAATTGTTAGATAAGTACACAATAAGTAATTAGGTATATGATTACTTTTTTACCTGTGTTATATCAATAAGAGGAATAGCATCTTCTTTTAGACGAACATAATATTTAGAACTTAAATCAAAGTGTTGTTTAAGAAAGTGCTTGGAACACACTGGAATACACTATATTTCGTAGATACCCAAGAACTTCTATTTATAAAATGTATTCATTTCTTAGGTTTTTCTAAATCTGCACTAAATGAATACAATTGTGTTCATTATGTAGATATATAAATGTATGCTAATTTAGAATGTAATTTCTAATATTTACTTATTACTGTCATTGATAAGAAACCATTTAATTTAATTATTCTGAAAACTATATCAATACTTTATTTTAATAGCACTCTGCACTGTGTTTAAAATTAACCTAAGAAATGTTATTTTTGAAATGTTCTTGTATTTCCCACCATTGTTATTTGTGCAATTGCGCTTGGCACACAACGCCGTTGTTCTTTTAATGTTTATGAGACGAATAGTTTATATAAACGTATATAATTAATTATAATGAGACTAAACAATACATTAAAATAGAAACTGTCACAAATGAAGGAAGTCCTAGTACAATATGGCCAACGTGGTGACACTTTTGACCACGTGATTGCATCTCCTTCCCTATTTTACCTCCATGTACTGGCTTCAAACAGATCCAGACCTTTAATTATCTATTATTTATTTGTTTTATCTGAGATTTTATCCAAAACGCTCAATAAATAAAACAGCCTAAATATACTTATTTATAGAATGAGTAACTTTTTCATTACCTAAGTCTTTTCCATTAAGTTATCCTTTATTTCATCATCTATTGAATTGTGTCGAACATGTGTTTTAGTTTTGGTAGTGTATTATGGTGAAACGTATTTATTTTTAGATGAAGACAGTGAACCAATTCTGGGCCAATGGTTCGAAGAAACACTTGCCCCACCAGAAACCACCGATACCAAGTCGCCATCCTCTTCTGAAAACGTTGAAGCAAAATCAGTCCAAAATGACAGGTCTAGATCAATGGTACCGGAAAAAGGAGAAGCACATGGCTTCATAGCACTATCCACTAGTGTTTTCATCTTCATGAATAAACATTTTTTATGTACAAAAAGTACATTTGTCTCTAGATATGTCAAAAATGGACTGACTGAGCAACAAATGATCATTTTAGCTGCTATTATCAGAGATTTGGATAGGGAAACAGCTAGGACTGAAATAGGTATAATTAATACATTCTACTGATACATTTGATTGTTTTAGTATTTTTGAGTTCTATAAGGTATTTATGTTTTTAGGCACTATTTCAGTATATTTTGGCCAAGCCTTGGGTCAACTATACTGCGAATTTTCTGGAGCTCTAACACGATTTGCTCATAATTTAGTAACAAATAACAACTTGAGTAACTTACAAGCCTGTCTCTTAAATCACCTAGGAGTATCGCCTTGGAATACTGATGTGCCTCATGCATGGCCTTTACAAGTTTATCCGAGGACCTTAGCCGTCTTGGCACAGGTATAATATATAGATTAAATGTAACAAATTTTACAAAAACAAAAAGTTTGTAAATTGTGTGTAATTATTAAATATTTCATATTTCGCTTATAATTTCTAAGTTGATGTTTAAATGTTTGCTTTTTAAGGTTTTGCTCTTAAGGCCCCAAAACGAGAAAGAAGCATCAGTAATTAGCATTTGGCATCGACTAGTCAATACATTAATTGAAAATGTACTCAACAATGCACATTCTGTTGTTGAATCTGAAAATGAAGGTAATATAAACATTTATTTCATTTAAAAGTAGATTAGTATAATTTTGAAAATTTATTTTTTAGATTTAAATGTAGAACATGCACAAGTTTTACTCTACTTATTCCATTCTCTCAACTTAATGCAGAAGAAATCAGTAGTTCTGCTAATGGCCGGAGGAGTTTTGAGATGTTCTGAAATAGCCAGAGGCCCTTTGAAAGATTCGCAATTATTACATCTTTCTAGATTATTGTTACTCTTTGATTATATCATGAAGCACTTGTATGATCCACCTACATCTTTATTAGAACAGGTAAATTAATAAAAGTGAAAATGTCATAATTCACAATGATCTCCAAAAGAATGAGACTTACAAATCAGTAAGCTGTAATTAATTTTATAGAAATGGCGATATTTCACAAACTGTTTAATATTTGATATTAAAAAATATTGTTGATGACTGTTTTTTAGAAACAAAATTAACAAATAATATTTAATTTGTTAATTATTTGTAAAGCATATCCTAATTTTGTTTCAATTTCCTTTAATCACAGTACAAAATTATGATAACGTCGAACTTTACTTTTTCTTTGAGTTGAAATTTATATCTTTAAGGATTTACAGGCCCAAAGATGCTTTGTGAATTATTTTGCTAATAGAGTTGTAATATTTAATGTCTAAATAATAATTTTTTTATTTAATTTAAAGAAATATTTTAAATGATCATTTTCCAGTGCCCTTATAATATCAGGTATTGGAATAAACAATTAGTAGTACATTTCTGTCAAAGATATAAAAAGAATTTTTAATGATACTATTGAAATCCGAAATATAAAAACAAATTTAAGTTATTTTATAAAAAAATTTAAAATGCACGTAAATAAATACTTTCGCAATTAGTCTAATATTTTAAATATTTTTTGATCATGGCATTTAAATGTTTTGAATATTTTAGTATTTCTTGTTAGTAGTTTCTTTTTGAAAAAGTTCCTATATTATTTGTCATTTTGAACAATATACACGTGCATAAAGCTAGCATCTCAAAACTCAGGAGTTCATACTTTAGGGGAAGTTATTAATATATTCGACGTAGTTCTAAGAGTTCCCGATACTTTTTATCAACAGTTCTGACGAATTTAGTATCTAAAACTGCAATTTAAAAGATGAGATGCCGAGGACCGAAGTTAGCATTCTAATGTAAATAATAAATAAAAACAGACGGATGGACCATCAATACTTTTAGAGTTCTTGTTTGTATTAATTAATTCAATTAATATAATATACTTACTATATCCAAAATATGCAAACATTCTACTAGAGGGTGTTCCGTAATGAAGTTCCAATATTTAAACATGGTGTTTTACCAACCATTTAGGGGGGGTTTCTTGTAAAATTTTAATTTTTCAATCTAAGTCCCCTCTGTCAAGATAAGTAAATCTCAAAATGGCGAAAATAAATATTTGTTTTTTTTTTTTTAACGAATATGACAAATGTGATTTCTTAATACGTTTCACAGTAACCGATGACGAAACTTTTATTAAAACGTCAAGAGAAATTATTTTAATTTGTACGTAAATTCTTGAATGAAAAGTTTCTAATTTGCGTCTAATATTGAAAGTTTAATTTTTGTGGGAATTGGCTTTTATAAATAAAGAAGTTCTAAAATAAATAAACAGAGGTTGCTAATATCTACTCTTCAGAAACATGAACTGAAAGAAGAGACACCACCATAAAATAGGGTTCGACTAGCAGATAATGTGTGTAACCATTCTCAACGAAAAAATGAAATCTATTTTTATTTTTTTTTCGCCATTTTGAGACTTTAATATCTCGACAGAGAGGACCCAAAGTGGAAAATTATATTAGAAAGGCCCCACTTAAATGGTCCTGTTATAATATTGGAAGAACCTTGGGGAATAACCTTATTATCTGCTTCCAAAAGATATATGAACACCCCAAAAGTTATAGCCCCTAACCTAGCACTTTCTAAATAATTTGAAGTAATAATTATTGCAAACAAAAGTGAGATTATGTCGTATTATGACTGGTTTTAAAATGTATAATGCTTCTAAATGATATCTAGAGTATTCCTGCTTGGGCCTCCAGAGTTCTAGCCTCTAAACCATTTTATATTCTAGAACTTGTCATAATACTGCATCATTTCTCTATCGTCTACAATTTTGTTTATACTCGTCATTATTTCTTCAAAATATTTAAAAATGCTATACTCTGTTTTTAAACTAGGAGGAGCGATTTGAATTTAAGTTGGCAATTCTGTAGTCTTCTGATTGGTCAGTATGCAGTCAGTTTCACACATTACTTTTTAGCATTAACATCAGCTAATAATTGATATTGTTGATAGTTCTGACATTTTATATTTTGATATCTCATCATTTACTTAGTTTTTTACTTTATTTCGCACATACTTTAATTACTATACGGTGCAAGAGAGAGGTCCGTCACGCCCAACATAGGGCGCGGCCATATTTCGCACATACTTTAATTACTATATGCATTGCGTTCGGTCTGCCAAGTTCCTTTAACACTTTTAACTCCAAACGACCCTTTTAGCTTTCGGTTAAGTCCGATTAGTGACAGTTTAACACGCTCAAATGTCATTTAAAGGCACCCTAAAATTTGTCCCGCTCCAGCCCCTGACTATCCGAACTGGCCTATGGTGCAAGAGGGAGGTCCGACACGCCCAACATAGGTCGCGGCCATTTTGATTCCTATGCCACAGTTTATAGCTAAAGAATCAGATCGCTCACTCTGCGTCGGCACTTTTGATCTCAATGTTCCAGTTTATACACTGCGCAACTCGGATAATACAATATATGACAACCGCATATAATAAAACAGCAGTCTTCTGCGTATCCTGAATTTGTATCCCTGGAGTGGATGTTATTTTGGAACTTTCAACTGGTCCGAGTGAGCTAACTGATTCTTTAGCAAAAAACTGTGACTCCAAAAATAATATTCATTGACAGCAGCAAGCAAAATATCAGGTGCGTTTTAATCATCCGCTTCTGCTTCCGGAATTGTCGGTTTAGTCGTTTTAACCTGTCAAATTAAAACAAGAAAACCGACAATTTCGAAGCAGAAGCGGATGATTAAAACGCACCTATTAAAAATATTGCGCCAAGATGTAGGCAACACGTAATAAGGGATCAAAATGGCAGAGTTTTCTATCTCCTTTTAAAAGGCACTCGGAAAGCTGCGCAGTGCGACCATTCTCCGTATAGTAAAAGAAAATCAAAGCATGTGTTATTTCGTAAATAATGCGCTAGTTCAGTGATGATGTAATTATGGTTCCACTGTCAATTAAAGTGACAGTAGATTTTTTGAGTGCGTTTTGTTTACCTAAATTATATCGTTTTTTTCACTTTTATAAATATATTCCTAAAGTAAGTAGATAGCATGTATCAAATATACAATCGTTTAGTTACCAATTACATACCTTTAAACTATTTTTTATGACCTGTAAACAATATTTTGAAATAAAATAAAAACAGTAAAAATGTATATGTCAAATTTATTGATGTTTTTGTTAAAAGTTTGTTTAGAATTAAATGACAGTGGAACCACAATGACATCACACTGAACTAGCGCATAGTTCATTTGAGAACTTCAGTAAGCAATTGCATTGAATTGAAAATGATTAAAAAGTGACTAAATATTTAAGTAAATTTTGTTGATTAGAAACTAATAAAACCATTTACAAAATTGTTAATTCACATTTAAAACACCATCTACTACATTAGAGATAATCTTAATTTAGCATATTAAACTAACGTTACTTCCTCAACAAATATTTTAAAAATATCTACTTAGCATTAGTACATAGGTATGTATGAATAGTTCACTTTAAATCAAAACATATAGTTAAAAATTATAACTAGAGTTAAAATGACCTACAATATAAGTTTTGCTAATGATATAATGTTGACATGTAGTGTTATGAAAATGTTGGTTCCATTTTCAAAACAAATCCTGACTCATAAACCTGTAAACTTTTGAATGCCTTCATTTGCCTTTTAACGTATTAACTATGGTTTAACACTAAATAAGCATAATGTCCATATTATACTCATAGGAGAAATTCCAGTCACTGTGTGATCCAGTTTATACCTTGAAAATGTAAAACGATCATATTTTTATGTTTTATACTAACCCGCATCTTATTCTGATTTTAACAATTTTCTCAATTATTTAATATCTATTTTAAAAAGATCATAGTTATCCTCAAAAAGTCGATATCAAAAGCAAGAAAAACATATTTCTGATAACGTCAACAAATCAAAAACCATATTGAATTTCATTTGACAGTGACAGTTTGTTTTAGACACATTTTTCAGATCACAATAATATGAAATTTACGACCATTGTCTGAAACCAATAAAAAAACGACTTATATGACATTTATTTGTTCCATAACCCCTCATTAGCCGTTCGCCGACTAGGGCCGATAATAACAACTATTACATACATTTTACATACTATATTTCGGAACAAGCTCTTAGTAACGAATCTAGTTCATTTTCCCTTTGTAAATGCGTATTTTCAATTCGCTCCTCCTAGTTTAAAAACAGAGTATAGATGCTAGGAATCCATGTTATTATTTACAACCAATATATATTCTAGATGTCATCTCACTCTCATCTACAAATTTTTATAATTCACTAAATTACTGATTATGTAATTTTGGTTCCACTGACAATTACAGTGACGGTAGACTTTTTGAGTGAGTTTTATTAGCTCTGTTTACCTAAATTATAAAGTTATTAAACTTTTTTAAACATTCCTAAAGTAAGCAGAACACCATTTATAAAAAAAAAACTAAAAACAGCAAGAAGGTATATTATCTCAAATTCAATCATGTTTTTTAAAGGATTGGTTAGAAGTTAACTGCCAGTGGAACTAAAATTGCGTCACTAATGTGGCGTATTATTGTCTAAAAAGTGTTGGCAGGTAAAACTCTTAAATTCAATACCAAAATGAAAATAGAAAAAAATCATTATTGAGGGTCACTTGAATATTTTTTCTAAAGTTGTTGAAATTCTTTACTATTTATTTATGTACTATCGGCTACAATTATCATTTATAATGGAACTCACACTTAGAAAACAGAGTTAAAAGAGCATACATTGCTTATGAACAATGCCGCCGAACCGTGGGGCGCACCTGGGGTTTCTCCCCCAGAGTCTTCGCATGGACTTACACGGCCAGCATATATGATAACATACGGTGCAGTTGTCTGGGTACCGAAAACCCAAAAATTCACAGCTATCAGCAAACTAAAACAAATTTAAAGAACAGCATGTCTCAACATAACTGGAACCGTGGAAGTCATTCTTGGTCTCACTCCCTTTGATATTTAAATCAAGGAGGTTGCTCTGATGACACGCCTCCTCACGGTTGGAATAGAACCTGATGCAGGGTCTGGTGAGGTGAAATTTCGCTTTTGGCAGGAGGCGCTCGATACACTCCCACTGCTTCAAGCGAACATGGACTCCTCACTGATTATATCTTCCATAAGCCACATACAGTTATAACTGAACAAATAGAAGAGCCGGAAGTGGCAGGCATGACCCATATCTACACCGACGGTTCTAAAACAAAACAAGGCTCAGGATGTGGAATATACTCCAGATCCTTAAAACTAAACATAAAATGGGCTGCCAGTGTGGTTCAAACTGAGTTCATGAGGATTCTCATAGCAGAAAGAGAAATCACCAGAAATAATATCACTGGAAGAAACATGCTTATCTATACAGATGGTTAGTACTAGAATGTCACGAAGCTTTGGCCGAAGTATCCATCAACAATGTGGTCAACTTAAGATGGATCAAAGTTCACGCCACATCGAAAGGTAACCATCTTGCTGATTCACTTGCCAAGAAGGCAGCCAACCAATTACCTTTTGGACCTGGCTCTTCTATTGGACTGACAACATCGATAGTGACAAACCTAATTAAAGAACATTCCCTTGTGAAAGTCAAGGAAAGATGGAATGAAACAAGGAGCTGCAGACTTGCCAGGGAGCGTTTAAGTTATCCTGACAACACTAAAGCGAAAAAATACTTGACTACGACTAGACAGAATCTGCGCCTGATCACAGGCATTCTGACTGGACATTGCCAACTACAGAAGAATCTCCATAACATGTGGCTGTCAGAATCTGCACTCTGCAGGGGGTGCGAACAAGAAGATGAGACCATCAACCATATCCTCTACGATTACCTGAGGCTCTCATTTATTAGAAGATTTGTGTTCGGTGAGAATTGACTAACACCGGCCGATATAAGAGAAGCACCTCTTGGCGACGTTGTCAACTACATTAAATATGTAGGCTGACTCACGAGCTAGCTAGGAGGTGTCTATCTACTTAAGAGGATGCACAATGGGCCTATTGATGCCTCAGTGCCGTGAGTTAATCCACACGTTACAGTTATAGATATCATTTATAATAATTATTAGAAATTATTAAGACACCCTTTTGGAGGCCATGCAGAAAGATAAGATAAGCATAATATATTTTAGACTTTCACTATCGTATAGAATTTTTGTGTATAAAAATTATTGAAGAATTTTTGAAGAAATCAACAACACATGTCCATAATGGTTTTCAGAATACTAAAAAATATTACCATAGTGTTAGTATCTTCTCCAAACGAATCGCCCATTTAAATTACTTTTTAGATTCAGTTCTGTGTATTTCTAGCTTTGTGAAAGGAAGACATATTTTATATATTAAAAGAAAAAACTTAGTTGGACATGTTCTTGTGGAATTTGTGACGAGTAAAGAAAACAGTCGATATTTTTATAGATTTTTAACTAAGTCTAACTAAGACTAACTAGGGTATGTCTTCTTTTTACATGAAACGAACCTCACATATGGAAAGTGTGGCTTCTGACTACTAGATAGGGTATCCAGCTCATTTTATACTTTTGTGACATGTGCTGTTTTTAGAAGAAAATTATCAATTATTTATAATTATTTCAGGAGGACCAGACCCTTAATTGACATAATTTTGAAATACAAACGTACAAAAACTCTAGAATCATTTGTAAACTATCAATTTTCCACAAAGGTTTTTTTTAATATATTAGGATCCCAATTTCCGGCCGTCACTATCTCATTTTTTAACAGTTTTCAGTACTAATTTCTACAGAAAGATATCAAGTTGTCATAAGAACTCTCCTTAAAATGCGAGATGCTGAGATAGTAACTTCATTCACGTACAATAAACTATTAAACTTTTTATTCTTGCTACCATTGAGTACTAAGTAGATAGCATAGAAAATTGTTTTGTAAACAGGTTATTCGATGTTTTTTATTGCTTATTATTTTGAAAATTGTATAATTTTGACTTAGAATTAAATAATGAAAACCGCTACTAAATTAAGATCTCGTTTCATTTGGACAATATGAGCTCGTATTGATCAGAATATAACGACTTGTAGTATTTATGCTTAGATTATCCAATGGGCTATATTTTTTTAGATCCAGTGGAATCTGTTTTTCTTAACAAATCTAAACGCAGACAAAGAAAAAGATAATAGCATGACCCGAATGTACACAGCTTGGCAAGATATTGAAGGCAACTATCGCAAAATATCAGCAGTCGATGAATTTACCATGAAACCCCGTTTCTATGTCCTAACAAATTTGGAAGTTAATAACCAAGACGCTCCGAAACTAGATGGATTAGCATGTAATTTCATATTGGGCACTCCAGATAAACTTAGATATCCATTACTGTTGGATGCTCTGATTGAAATTTTAAATGTTACTCATATTACCTCTGGGGCTAATGCTTCCAAAATGAGCTTTTTAGGTCTTTGTGCTACTCAGTATTGTTTTACAATTTGTTGGAAGTAAGTACATGCCATAAATTCATTATTTTAAACCAATTTTATATATTTTTTCTTTTAGGTTGTTACAACTACTTCCCCCTTCAGCGTCTTACATGGAACGTCTGGCAGCAGGTGAAAATCTAACAGCTGGACCACTTTTATTGCATTCCTTAGTTTGGGGACCCAGAGCCTCTCACAAAAATTTTAGTAGATGGTTGAAAGATTGTCTAGTAAAACAAGGAATGTATACACAACATACTGATAAGTTACTAAAGGAGGTTTCTGAAGCCGTAAATAATATTAAATATGATATCGCAAATGCTAAGAATTGTATAATATCTCTTACACCAGATGTTAAGAAAGGTAAGGAGATTGTGATAGGCATGTTTGTCATACTAATTATTATTTTTTAGATTTAGTGACCAAAGAAAATCTTCCACCACTTTGGCACCTATTCTTGTTAGACGCCCTTATGACCAAGGTTCAGGTAGGCTTGGAGGAACCGGAGAGTACCTCAGAATCATCATCTATTACTGTTTCCGATGGTACTTATGTTCAAGATTTACTTCCACATGTCTTAAGACTAACCCAAGCTGTTTTACATTGCACTAGATGGTCTTTGTTGCACACTATTTCTGAACAAAACCCATCTTCGGATAAATTATCATTACAAAACTTTGAAGGCTTACAGGATGTATTGGCCATTTCATCAACAAAGAATACATTAACTAGTTCTTTGTCTTCAGAATTGACATCTTTGTTGCCACCTTCTGTCAGTTCCACACAACTACAGTCATATAAATCTATATTGGAAGATGTGTCTTTGGTATGTAATAATCATTAATATTTGTATTTACTGGAAAACCCACAAAATTAATTTAACAAAAATAAGACTTCAAAAATAAACTTCACTATTGGATCAATTAATCATTGTTTGGTTAAAACAAAAATATTAACTTTTTTTATTTATTTTAGGCTTATCAAAATGACATAATACCTTCAGAAAGTGCTATTCTTAAAGTTGTTGATGCTCACATAGCAACTCTTTCTATGAGCAGCCCATACAGCATTAACTTGTCTTTAAGACGCCTTCTTCAGTGTCTCACAAAATTCATTTGTGATCATGCTCCAAAAACAGAAAATACAGACACCAAAAATAAAGCCATAGAGCTTCTTGTCTCTATAACATTAGATTTGAGAACTGAATTCCTTTATGATACTGTTACAAAAACTTTAGATAAAATGATTGGAGATACTGAAACAGATGAACATCAAAAGAGAGTTTATTTGCGAGTTTTGGATCATACTTATAAGTTAATAACAAACTATACTTCCGGAAATTCTGAAAATTACAGTGTAAATATAGACGAAAAAATTTTACACCACTGCTTAAAATTCTATGAAAAAATAATAGAGAAATCATCAGGTCGTCAAGCTTTAGAAATATTCTTTACAGGCGACAGAGATCTAGTAAAGGTGTTAATGTCTGTTTCAAGTCCTCAGATGTCACAGCAATATGGAACAAGAGTTTTACATTTCTTTAACAAACTATTCCAAGCTGCTGAAAAGAGCTCTACTGATCCTAGCTTAAACTATCTCTGCTCTAGCATGAGCAAGCTTGCTAATGTAGAAAATGAAAAACTACAAACATGGTTAAGACAAATCATCATAGGTACAAATAACATTGAACCACTAGTAACAACCACAGTTACACTTAACAAAGATGAAAGTCCAGCAACATCTAGCAATGGAAAATGGACTATTACTGCTGTAGAAAGTAAAGATGTTACATCATCACCTACCTCTAATAACGACCAGAAATCTTTGGTACAGGAAAATAGTCAGCTATTACAAGCTCTGACTAGTTTTATTGTTAAACAGAACAGCAACGTTTCTGAGGAGGTTTCTATAACGATTTTAAAGGCTCTTATTCAATTAGGAAAACATTTATTGTCACCAACCCTAGAAGGCGCTGGGTTTACAGATTTGATGGTTGATATGATAATGTTGGCCAATGCTGGCTCTGGAAAAGGTAAGGATTAAAAAATATAACTTTTTCATAATAATATAACCCCTTATTTTAGGACACAGCTTTCTTTTCCCCGCCACTGCAGAATGGATCGAAATATGTAACAAACGCACCTCAGAAAAAGATGTTATTGAGAAACTGACGAACGATTTCGATTGTTCCAAAAAAAATGCCATGATGGAAGCAGCCTCATGCATTTTGGATTATGTCAGTGACGTAATTTCCATAATAACTTCACAACATCCTCAGGCAATTAGACCTTTAAGTCCACCTTGGGAAAGTGAATCACCACTAGATCTAGATTCTGAATGGCCAGACTTTGCCAATAATGATGATGATGACAGTGGCGAAGATAGTGATGAGGATTCTTTATGTAACAAACTGTGTACATTTACTGTAACTCAAAAGGAGTTTATGAACCAACATTGGTACCATTGTCACACTTGCAAAATGCTAGATGGTGTGGGAGTATGCTCTATTTGTGCCAGGGTCTGTCATAAAGGACATGATTTAAGTTATGCAAAATATGGGAATTTCTTTTGCGATTGTGGTGCCAAGGAAGATGGAACCTGTCAAGCATTAATAAAGCGGAGTCCACAAAATAATGAAATTAATAATGTATCTGGAGGAGGAAGTTCCGAACATATTTTGACAAGTTCTTTGAGAAGAAGAACATCAAGTCCTGTTCCTACAGATAAGGTAAGTTATTCCACTCAAAATCAATGTTTATTATTGTTATGTTATTTTTTAACTTAGGTATTTTACTACTTTCAGATTGTTTACAAAGAAAGAAAAACATCTAACACCGTCAAACAACTGGATGGATCCAAAGAGTTTATTATCAACTACCTAGGTTCCAGTTTAGTAACTGGTTCTCTTTTAGAATTCCTTCAATCTCTAATCCCTGCAGTTGAAGAAAACTGTCGTAAAAACTCTTTAGTAGGCTGTCATGTTCGAGGTGTCACAGCATTAGACCAATTGTATGCCAATGAGAAGAAATACGTCCACACAGACCAGCTTATGGTACCAACTTTAGGCTCACAAGAAGGAGCGTTTGAAAATGTACGTATGAGTTATGCTGGTGAACAAGGACAGACTATAAGACAACTACTATCAGCACATATAATAAGAAGAATAGCAATGTGTTGTATGACGTCCACACAAGGTAGAAGGCAACATCTAGCAGTATCTCACGAAAAAGGAAAAATTACTGTATTACAGTTATCTGCTTTATTGAAACAAGCTGATTCTTCAACAAGAAAATTAACATTAACAAGATTATCTACAGCTCCAATACCTTTCACTGTACTTTCTCTATCCAGTAATTTATGTAATGAAGACTTTTTGGCTGTTTGCGGTTTGAAAGATTGTCATATATTGACATTTACTTCAGGGGGATCAGTTTCAGACCACTTAGTACTCCATCCTCAGTTGGAGACTGGTAATTTCATCATTAAAGCTATCTGGTTACCAGGTTCACAAACTAAACTTGCTCTTGTAACAGCGGATTTTGTTAAAATCTTTGATTTAGCTGTAGATGCATTGAGTCCTCAATACTTTTTCTTAGTACCAAGTGGAAAAATTAGAGATTGTACTTTTATGTATGAAGATGAAACCTACCACATCCTATTGATGTCTTCACCTGGACATATCTATACCGAAATTTTGAATGAAGATTCTTCTACTAAGTATGGGTCTTTTTATGTTACTAATACATTGGAGGTATTCCATTTGGAAGCTGCTGATGTCAACGGGCAAGTAGCAGGAGGTGGGGTTTCCATCTATTACTCCCACACTCTTGGTCTTCTATTTTACAGCTATGCTCAAGGCAAAAGTTTTATATCTCCCATAATGCCAAAAAGTAATAGCCTACCAATGGTATTTCCCATCAACCTGCCTCAATCTAATAATAGTACCTCAAAAAGTAATGGTTCTAAAAATTCTTCAACCCAACCTCTCTGTCAGTGGACTGAAATCCCTAACCACCCTGGTCTAATTTGTTGTGCTATGCAGTCTAACAATAACCCAGTTATTTTGATGCTAAGGCCAGATACTATTATGATACAAGAAATTAGAGTAGTACCTGCCAAATCAAAGATTATGGATATGGTTGCAATTAGACACAATTCTGGAAGTGAATTGAGAACTACTTTGATTTTGCTGTGTGAGGATGGCAGTCTGAAGATGTACATGGCTAATATGGATCAGACAGGTAATATTTTGATTTGAGTAGCTAAATTATACGTATTTGGACTGAAAATTTTGTATTATCTACTCTTTTAGGATTTTGGATGTCTCCCAGCATCCAAGCTACATTCTTAAACACCACTGTAAAACCCAAAAAGAAAAAAGTAATAAAAACTGGCAAAACATCCAACTCTCTAAATTTCCCAGTGGATTTCTTTGAGCACTGTACTGCAATGAACGATGTAGAACTAGGAGGAAATGATCTTTTGCAGATTTATAACCAAGCCCAATTAAAACATCGTCTGAATACAACAGGACTTTATGTGGCTTGTAATAAACCCTTAGGATTTTCAATTGATGTCACTAATAATGATTCTAATTTAGTTATGGTGGGTTTGAGGGTACTAGTTGGTAGTCAGGATATGCAAAGGTGTCCATCATTTGTCGAGGTAAGTTTGTTATAAGACAGTCATTGTTTTATTTTGATGAGTAATTTTTTAGATATTTGGAAGAATTATACCCATCACTGCAACCCGTAGTCGTTGGTATGACATCCCATTCTCTAGAGAAGAAAGTTTACAAGCTGATAAAAAATTAACAATTCTCTTTGGACCTTCTCAAGATCCGGAAACTGTAACTATGGTTGACAGTGTTAAAATTTATGGAAAAACAAAAGATTCATTTGGTTGGCCAGAGGAATCTGATGACAGTATACCCTCTGGTGGCAATAGTAGCAACCAACAAATTGTTGCTAGTGCTGAAGGTGAACAGAATAGTGGAAATAAAACACAATTGTCCAAACTGGAGAAGTAAGTTTTACTGGGAAAAATTTTCAATATTTATCAACAATTGTATTTTCAGGCTTGTTGTTGGCATCCTAGAATCTCTTGATGGCAGCTTCTCCCTCCACCCAACAGAAGATAAGTTGTCAACTTTTAAAGCTCCTACTCTTAAAGTTGCCACACAACTTTTGACTCTTCCCACTCAGCCATCTGTACAAATTCATTCTAAAGCTTTATTGTCTTCTTTACACTCAACAAAACAACTGTACCACAACTACAAAGATCAAGCACTGCTCCAACACGTTTTATCAAGCTTGACGGAAATGACAAATTCCAATGTCAAAGATTTAGATACTGAGAGTTATTATAGATTGGTTTTGATCGTTAGAGGTATTGCTGTAGCTAGACCTCAGAATTTGGTAAAATTTGCCGATAGTCATACATCTATACAGGATGTTGTATTGGATGATCCATTAGAGAATATCTGTAATCCAGAAAAGAAAGAACTTAAACCAGAACGTAAACAACAAAGCCAACACCTTCTTCTTCAACTAATGGAAGTACTTTGGCTTCTTCACTCTCTCAATCCAGAAATACCTTCCCTATCTCTAGTCGTATCAAAAGGTCTTAAGCATACTGAACAAATCGTACATGCCCTTGTCGAAATAGTCCATGCCTTCAATAGTTGTGATACCTATAGCAACGTCACAATAGCCGTTTATCTTCAGCTACTATTATGCAATGATGCTATAATAGCGTTCAGCGCCAAACAAGCCTTAAGCATAGTATTAAAACCAAAAACAAAACGCCGTAAAGTCTTTATACCAAGTCCGCCTCATTGTGTGTCTCCGCCTCTTGCCAAAAATTCGGAATCTGATAGGTCAAAGACTCCACCTGCTATAACACAACAGTCCAGCCACGAGGAGGAAGTCCATGCCAGGCAGCAAAATCAGTTTGATGTTGATGCAGTGGAATCGATTGGATTATTGGAACAGCCAGGTCAACACCAAGACAATCATGTCAATCCCTTAGAGGTGTTACTTGGAGGAGGAGTTGGGTTCCCTCAATTACTAGATATACCCCCAGATGCGGACGATGAAGCTATGGTAGAGTTAGCTATAGCATTAAGTTTGCAAGTAAGTTTCTTACATATAAAAAAAAGAATTACCGTTGTAAAAAGTACTTGTTAATACAATGTTTTTTTTTTCTGTAGGAGCACCAAATTGGAGGAGAACAAAATCAAACCCTACAGAGCTTGCAAGTTCAACTTGGTAATGAAGTTCTTGGACATCAAGGTCAATCGGCTCAAGCTCAAGAAGCAGCAAATTTCAGTGACACCACAGCTTCAGCTGCTGGTTCAGATGATGAGGGATCAACGGCTGCTACAGATGGTTCCACTTTGAGAACTTCCCCAGCTGAACAAGCAGGTTCTGAAAGTGGAGGAAGTGGTGTTGAAAGCATAACTGGAGAACATAATGTGTCAGGAAGGTGTGTAAAATTAGTATCCAGAACTTTTGAATGATTTTAACTCTTAATCATCTTTAATTAAGTTCTCTCTATTTACTTTGTGTATTTTTTTATGTGTTTAGATCTTCTGCTTATGGAGATAATATACAAGAGGCCATCAATCTAGTTTCTAGATCAGATACTAGCTCTATTGCAAACACTGTTGGAATGACTGAAGCTGATGCTCCACATGATGAAGTTGAAATTGAAACAGAAAATAGTAGCAGGTTACATGTTTTACGTTTGCAGTTGCTTGAAAAACTGGTAGAGTATTTACCAAAATTGAGAAATATAGATGGTGTTCGAGCTATACCGTTCCTACAGGTAAGTTTACAATAAATTACACCATAGTAACAGGCGGTTGCAAGAATGTTGGTTGACTGAGTTTGAGAATGTGATTGTCTGAATGATGAATTTAGAGTTACAGTCTTAACATCTGTTACAAGTTTACCAGGCTTAGAAATGTTAATCAATGTTCTTGCAAATGCTATAAATACATTATGTAGTATCATATTCAGTATTTTGTTTGCTACAACTTTATTTGAAATGTTTCTTTTTTAAATACAATTTTTTTTAAGGTCGTTCTTCAACTAACTGCTGATATAGATGGTCATTGTGAACGTGATAGAGCTTGCCTAAATTCCTTATTAACAACAATTGTTACGGAATTACATCTAACAAATGACAATTTCTCCGATATATGCACTAGGACTAAACAAAGAGAAGTTCAGTTAATATTGCTCCGGTTACTCAGTAAGGATATTGTAAATATTAAAATTAAAATACAGTTAATTATTGTTCTTTAAAGTTATGCTTATTGAATTTGTTTTTGTTTTAGGCGTATTTATGCAAAGATGTAAAATATCTTCATCTTCGCCAACTTCTAGCAAAAATGTTGCTTCAGACAACTCTACTTATGTGTCTCGCACAACTGCCACTGTTTTACACAAAGCTGATATTATCAATTATTGTAATAAGCTTCTCCAAGCCCTTTTGTCTTATTGGAGAACTTCTACAGAAGAAGATGATTCTAATAATATTACTGGAAATCTCCTGAAGGAGCGTTTACCACATCCTCCTCCAGATATGACTCCTTTCTTCCAGAGACAATTCGTTAAGGATAATCAGGATGTCTTCAATACTTATCCACAACTTTTGACAGAGATTGCTTTGAGATTGCCTTATCAAGTACACAGACATTCTGAAGTTTCAGAACCTATTAGTACTGCCTTTGATGTGTCTTGGTAAGTAAAATTAATTCAAAATTCGATTTAGTAGAAACAATTTTATAAAATAGATATTTTTACTATTTTTTGTATTGTAATTGCTTTTGTTTGTAAATAATTTTTATTTGACAAATATCCTAATTCTCTATGTATCTTTAAATTCGCCCATATGTAAAACCTTGAAGAGAAATTTAAAAAAAATATATTTATTATATTGATTTTCGAACCTCTTGTTTTTTCTATAAGTTTAAAAAAGGTGTAAACATTGAACCACATTAAATGAATCGAAGAATTTGTCACTTTTTAGGTACAACCATCTGTGTGACTATATGATGACACCACAGACACCTTTTGTAAGACGACAAGTTAGAAAACTGTTAATGTTCATTTGTGGCAACAAAGAAACTTATAGACAACTGAGAGATTTACATGGGTTACGAAACCACATGAAGAGAGTCAGAGAATGTTGCACCAAAGCTGGTTACCAACCTGCTACCGATGTTCAACATGCTTTAAGCTTGCCATATGATGCTCTTGTTGAACTAATTGAACACCTTAAGTATTGTGTTGAGGTAAATATAATATATACTCTGATTTCTAAATAACCTGTATGAGTAATAAAATGTTAATTTTATTCATAATTACTTTTAGGTTGCACAAAGTCGCACAGGCAATTGGCAACGTTTCTGCATAAAAGAAGATGATGTCATCCAGTTTTTAATGCGTGTGAGTTTCCTTTTAGACGATGGGGTAGCTCCAACTGTGTTACAACTTTTGCAAAGTGCTTTGGTTGTAAATACACCCTCTTTAAAAAAACCTGATGGCACCAAGGCTTCAGCTTCACGGAAAGATCGAGAAAAATCAGATGATTCGGGTGTAGAAGCTGTTTTCGAAGAGTCCAATTCTGTTACATTAGTAGAACAGATTACTAAACAGATATCTAGAGAAGTCTTTGCCAGATTTATAAAAACTTTCATGTTAGAAACGAATATTACTTCAGTAAGATGGCAAGCGCATGCACTTATTCAAGCCGTTTATAAAAACTCTAAATCAAAAGACCAGGAGTCTATTTTGGAACTTTTATGGCAATTGTGGCCTCTATTACCTGCCTATGGACGAAAAGCTGCCCAATTTGTTGACCTTTTGGGTTACTTTTCCCTCAAGTACACCGAAAAACAAGAAGGCATTCCTTCAATACCTGAATATGTTGAACGCGCTTTGAGTGTTCTCAAAGCTCAAAATGAAATGCTAGCACACCATCCTAACGCTAACTTGTATGCACATATGGGCCAGTTTGTGGACTTGGATGGATATTATTTGGAATCTGAACCTTGTCTAGTTTGCAATAATCCCGAAGTACCATTCTCCATGATAAAACTTAGCTCCATTAAAATAGATTCTAAATTCACAACTACGACTCAAATTGTTAAGTTACTTTCTAGCCACACTATAAGTAAAATTACGATACGAATTGCCGATTTGAAGAGAACAAAGATGGTTCGAACTGTTAATATTTACTATAATAATAGATCAGTACAGGCTGTTGTAGAATTAAAGAATAAGCCAGCACTGTGGCATAAAGCAAAAAAAGTGACTTTACAAAGTGGACAGACTGAAGTTAAAATTGAATTTCCTTTGCCTATTGTGGCTTGTAACTTAATGGTTGAATATGCTGACTTTTATGAGAATATACAAGCTTCATCTGAAACTCTTCAATGTCCAAGGTAAGTACAAGTTCTAAATTATTTTATAACATATAGTTTAGGCGATGTCAGAAATAATACATAAAAATGTGATGATACATGGATAGATTTGCTTATTCGTCGTTTTCTGCAATAACTCGTCTATTAATCTTGCAAAAATTGTGATAAATAAAATGGAAATAAATAAAATGCATTTAATTAATGAAAAGTACAGAGGCCATCATACATGTATAGAATACAAATTTTAACTTGTCTATCTACATTGCTTATGGTCGTTTCCACCAAGATTTGTTTAGGTATTATGGAATAATTAGGTGTTGGTTAAGGCAGTTTCACTGTATTTTAGCTAAAAGAAACAAGGGTTCACCATTTTCAGCTACTTTTAAATTTTGCCAATTATATTAAAATAAATCTTGTACCAGCTACCAACTTAAAGTATAAGTTTTAAAGAATGAAATCTACTTTTTAATTGTCCTGTTTATTTAATTAAAAAAAAAAAAATAATAAAAAGAGATATTTAAAACCAGAGCGATATATTTCCATTCTACATATTTTCCTTAGTATGCCAAGAAATATTTCAAAATTTTATTGGGTATTTTTCAAATCTAAGAAGAATTACAAGGAAATATTCTAGAAATTTAGAAATTTTCTATCAATTTTTCTAATTTATTAGTAAATCAATTTTTAAATAGATGTTCAGGGAGAGGACTACCATAAAAATAATGTTGCCTCTTTCTTGATATATTTGTTATTTGTCTCGCGTCTGTCCAGTTGCTTACACAATTTGTGAACTGACACGCAAAAAATGTTCCTAAAGTAGGCCATGAAAAAAAAAATGACATGTAAAAGTGCATATATTTTATTCTTAACCATTTAAAGAATATAGTATATTATACTGTTTCGCAACTACAGGCATCAGGCGAATCTGATCTAATGGAAAAAGCATCGGGGACTGAAGCAAGTGATTGCGCAATCAAGTACTGACACTATTATGTTTAATTTTATCATAATAATATTCACATTTACAGTGGCGATAAAAATATCATTTTTTACAATAGACCTGATTTATTACATTTAATAAAATTTTATCCCCAACGGACCCTAGCGGTAGATAAAAGCATAAAATTATTTTCTCTGAACTTTTGTGGCTGTTTATATTGTTTCTAAATAAACTCTAATAAAAACCTTATACATTTTTTTTCTTATAGTTGTATCAATTTATTATATCTAGATACTTTATTTTTCAAATTAATAAAAACAATATATCCTATTATGTACAGATTCGAAGTTTTTTTTTTATATTTCGTAGCATAGTAAGGTTTTCTAGCATTTTTCATTGAGCGATGTCTACCCATCTTTAAATAATTCATCTCAGCAATAAATATACGTTATAAAAAATATCCACAGAAAACACTAAGAATTTCATTTAATTTAGTATGGTTTCCTTTAGAATTTATCAAGTTTCTAAATTTAAACTAGTAAGTTATCAGTGTTTTCTGGTATTTTTACTCAGAGTGCTCGTTAGGCTACTGATTTGTATTCCCATTTTCAAATTTACTTTATGTGACGAATCTGTACTTTTTATTATTGAAATGCCCTGAAGAGTACTATTATTTATTAATAAATATTTTATTGTTTGACTGACATGTGAGTGAGACCAAAAAAACCTCCCCCCCCCCCCACTCAATCTTGATAAGTTGAACTTAACTGAACACATTTGAAATTAAAAATTAAAAATTAAAATTATTCAGAATATAAATAAAATGTTTTATTGATTGATTTTTCGGAAGTCCTTGATAACGCTCTTATTTGATTTTTTTTTTTTTTTTTAGGTGCAGCGCTTCAGTTCCAGCAAACCCAGGAGTCTGCGCAAACTGTGGTGAAAATGTATTCCAATGTCACAAATGTCGTGCAATCAACTATGACGAGAAAGATCCTTTCTTATGTCACGCTTGCGGTTTCTGCAAATATGCCAAATTTGACTTTAGTTTATTGGCTAAACCCTGTTGTGCTGTTGAACCAATAGAACATGATGAAGATAGAAAAAAGACAGTATCAAGTATCAATTCGTTATTGGAAAAAGCTGACAGGGTTTACAAGCAATTGATTGCAAATAAACCTACATTGGAATCTTTAGTTTTAAAAATCACCGAACACAGGTTAGATAAATTCTTTTTTTGTCCGTTCTTTGCATAATGATATAAAATATTTGAGACATTTCTAGAACCAACATGTTCAATTTTTAATTGTTTAGATCTGATAGAAAGTCTGACGAGTCTACAGTGTCTAATAGTACAGCTAATGCCGGAGGTACTGCTAATTCTGGAACCGGCTCTCAACTTAAAGTTAACAAGACCATTCAAATGTTGGCTCAACAATATTGTAATGAATGTAAAACATCATTTGAGGAATTAAGTAAGATCATTCAAAAAGTTCTGGTGTCCAGAAAAGAGTTAGTCGCCTATGATAGAAAGCACAGGTAATTTCTTTAATGAATATTTCTTATAAAAGTTACAACTTCGTATTAGGTCTTGCAATTGTTCCCCATTAACGAGAAATTTCATGTAAGAGCGAGTCATGAGTTTGCATTGATTACGTTCCTGTCCTTTGTACATTAAACTTCTAATTAATATCAACGACACAAGACAAATAATTATATATTGAATTGTTAGGGAAATGGAACTTCCAAAATCGACCCCTGTTCTTAGTGATACCTTAATCGCTGCCGCTTGCGTCAACAATCGCTGTTATGGTTGTTCAACCGCCGCAACTGAACACTGTCTCACTCTCTTGAGAGCTTTAGCACATAATCCCACTACCAGACAAGTACTTTGCGCCAAAGGCCTTATTCAAGAACTAGTTTGGAATAATCTACGGAGCGGTACTGTACATAATCAAGAAGAGGTGAGACAACTGCTCTGTGTTTTAACAAAAGATAACAGGGACGCCACCGAAGAACTTTGCAATCTGCTAATGGAAAGAATCAGTCTAAACTTAAATGGACATATTAATTCTGCAGATTTGGGTAATTTAAAACGACATTTTAATTTTAGATAAATATTTTTCATGTAGGTATTCTTTCTTTAAAATTAGGTACTAGTGTTCGCCATGAAATAGCCTTATTAGCAGCAATGGTTCAAAAAGAAGATGAATGCTGGGAACTAAAATTAAGATGCATGATGGGTCTATTTTTGAAAGCTTGTGAAGGATCCAAAAGCCCCTTAGTGATGGAATCTGTCATTTTACCTTGCTTAAAAATTTTACAAAGCTTAATGAAACAACCAGATAGTGCAAATAAGAAAAATAAGGTAAGTCGATACATTTTTAATTCTGTTCGTTTTTAGAAAAATAAAATACAAAATATTGATAGAACAATTTATGGTACATGTAACATTTTTTTTGTTTTCGCATGTTTGGCCTTGAGCCGTAGTTAATAGTTTTGATTCTCTTTACAGATATAAAACAATAATTTTAATTTGTTTTAGGATAAATCAAACAATTCCAGTGTTCATAGTATAGGTTTAGCGGGCACCACCGTTGACGTACGCAAATTTTTAGAAAAAGATCCTGACCACACGTTTAATGGTTGGAAGGCTCGTTTTCCTAAATCTACAGAGTGTCCTGCTGCTTCAAAACCAACCAGAGAAGAGGTAGACATCCACATTTAATTTATACAATTAAAGTCACAAGTTTCACATTATTTCAAATCTTATGTTATTAAATCACTTTCAATTCATTGCTTATCCAATTTTTTACAGATTCGAAGACTCTACTTGTCTGAAAAATACCTTCGCAAATGGAAAAGAAACACTAAAAAACTTTACACTCGTGAAAAACTAAACCTGAATGATACTTCATGGCTTAAGGCTGTAATTTTTAATTCTAGCTCGCGTTTAGCCCGACAGGTAGCATGTAACATTTTAGAAGCTATGTGTAGTTCATTTGAACGAAAACGAGATATTCTTGACTTATTAACTCACTTCCTAGTTGAATTGAGCACAGCAGGTGAAAGTGCGGCAGAATTTCTAGCCCTCTACCAGAATTTAATCCAAGAAGCGCCTTGGAAACAGTACCTAACGGTCAATGGAGTACTGTTAGTTCTAGCTCATCTTATTACTGTCGAAATTGAGCAATTGCATCGATTGGAAGAAACGACTTTAACCTCAGATCTAGCTCAGGGTTATGCCTTGAATCAGATCACTGAGCTCTTGGCTTCATTTTTGGATGATCCTGTTATAAGAAGACAATACAAGGGTAGATTGGTAGGAGCTGTTTTGAATGGATATTTGTCATTAAGAAGATTGGTAGTTCAACGGACTAGATTAATTGATGATACGCAGGAGAAGTTGTTAGAGTTATTGGAGGAAATGACCTCAGGTGAGTTTTTTTTGTTTTAGATTATTTATCTTTTAATTTATGATAAATAAATTTAATACTTTTTTCCTGATGAATTTTAAAATTATTTCTCGGTAAACAACAATAAATAAAAAGTCAACGTATTAAATTTGGGTTTATATTAACTTCCATCTCTATTCGTCTTAGGCACTGAAGAGGAAACAAAAGCTTTTATGTCGGTTTGCATCAAAACTGTAGAACGATATAGTCTTCAAGACATACTTACCCCAGTGTTTATTTTCGAACGTCTGTGCTCTATTATATATCCAGAAGAAAACGATGTAGGAGAATTTTTCTTAACATTGGAAAAAGATCCGCAACAAGAAGATTTCTTACAGGTATGATATAAATAAACCAAAAATATTGTATTGTACTCGGCAGCTTTGATAAAGTTGTGTATGGCTTTGCCTATTTTATTTTTGCTCGTCCACTGTGTTTGACTCTTTGTAGCTGGCGCTTACAATAGAATAATTATAGTTCTGAATAAAGAGATGTGATTTAGTTTCGAATATCTAAAAGCGACAGATACAGCCATTCTTTCTAGCTGGTGCTACTATACTTTGGAACTCTTGTGTATCCACATGCTGACCATCCAAATGTGCAAGTCTTCAAAACTCGCCTTATCAAGCTGTCCATTCTTTTGTTAAAAACATCGCAACATTTTCGCTTTTAAGTTTTACCTCCATAAAAAGAACATTGTTCTTTTCGATGGCTGTTCATCTTAATTAGTTCAACGTTCAATTAGATACACTGCACTTCAAAATTAATGGATAAACTGAAATGTCAAATATAAGTTGTCTTTGACATTTTGTAATAAAATTATTTTGTCGATATCCCTGTTTATTCTGCTGTGTGAGTTCGGCCAATTTTATTAGTGAAACTGATACAAAATGAGCATGAAAGAGGAGCAATATTTCATCAGAAAAATCCACTGTTATATTCGTACCAACAAGTAGCACAACGTTTTGGGGCAGACAAAAACTCACCAAACTTCGAAGACCACACATAAAACTGTTTATCAGATGGCACCAACTTTAAAACAAAATGCATTAATGTGACGCAGTGTACATGAAATAGTAAAAAATAAACTACTAAACATCTCTGATGGGAGTCAATTGTGGAATTCCACGTTTTGTGGATTACACTGGAATGGCTCGTATGACAACAAAAAATCTCCAGAGTGGAATTTAATTCATTGTTGCTTTAACGTACTATATATTATATACATCTCTATTATTTTTTTTTTATATTTTTTAAATTGCATTTATTTGTAGGGCCGCATGTTAGGTAATCCATACTGCAGCTTGGAGGGTGGCTTAGGGCCTCTAATGAGAGATGTTAAGAATAAAATTTGTCAAGATTGTGAATTAGTAGCCCTGTTAGAAGATGACAACGGTATGGAATTGTTAGTTAATAATAAGATTATGAGTTTAGATTTACAAGTCAAGGATGTGTATAAAAAGGTAAGAAAAGAAAATTATTCGTAAATTTTTTTATAAAAATCAAATTCACATTCATCTTATTTAGTTTCTCAAAACTGGTTCATTAGAAATTCAATATTAAAAATAGATTACATTAGAATTCCATATTTTTTTGTATTGTTAGATCTGGTTAGCAGAAGGAGGAGATCACGAACCAATGAGAATAGTTTATAGGATGAGAGGTCTTCTTGGTGACGCTACTGAGGAATTCATAGAAAATCTAAGTAATAAATCACAAAGTGACATTGATAATGAAGAAGTCTATAAAATGGCAAATGTTTTGGCCGATTGTGGAGGTCTACAGGTTTGTATATTACAAATTTTAGAAATAATAGTGTTAATTTTTAAGACATTTTCAAAAACATAATTCTTGTAGGTCATGGTTATTAGGTTAGGAGCGATCCAGAGTGTTACTAGGGCCAGGCCTCTTTTACAAGTACTATTAAAACTATTTAGGTTATGTGTAAAAGTAAATCGTTGCCAAGAAGTTCTAATTCAACCTGAATTAAAATCTATGGAAGTATTTTTACGTACCCTCCAACTTTGTCTGGATAGCGACCGAGATTCTAGTCAAACTGCAGTCACTGAACAACTTTTAGATGTAAGAAGTATTTAGCATTTTTAAACTTCAATATAATTGTCTAATATTAACATTTATTTGTAGATTATGGAAACGATTTTATCTAAAGCTACCAGCGAACCAGAAGAAAAGTTTAAAGAATTTTCCAAAACGCTCGGTAGCGCCGAATATGTTAAATCCCTCCTATCTTGTACTAATCAACCAGTTGTTAAATCGAATTCTGTACTAGTCCACTTAACTCGTGTGCTGGCTGCATTAGTATATGGCAACAAAGAAAAAATGAAAATATTGTTAGAACATTTCAATCCAGTGCTGGATTTCATCAAATACGATTTAGAACATACACCAGATGATCAACAAAAATTAGAAATGTTCTGCGTTTTGACCAACAGTATAGAGAAGAACGCTATAGGAAACACTTTAAAGGATTACATTATTTCACTTGATATAGTAAAAAATGCATTAGAGTATATTAAGATTCACGCACCTTGTGTTAAACCGACCTTGTTAAGGGTCGACAGTGATGAATTAAAAGATTTTATTTCTAAGCCAGCACTGAAATATATTTTAAGATTCCTAACTGGATTGGCACACAGCCACGAAAAAACCCAGGTATGTGTTGAGTTTAAAAAATCTTTTAAATATTTAATTGATTTAAATTTTCAGTTGGCAATAGCAGCAGCAGAAACGATACCAATTATCCATAGATTGGAACAAGTGTCTTCAGATGAACACGTTGGATCTTTAGCAGAAAACTTATTAGAAGCACTTTGCACTAATCCAGAAGTAGCCAAGCAAATAGACGCTGTTAGAGACTTCACTAGATCTGAGAAGAAACGTCTTGCCATGGCTATGAGGGAAAAACAACTCGGACAATTAGGAATGAGAACTAATGACAAAGGTATTTTTCTGAACATTTATTTTGTATGCATCAATATGTTTGAAACCACAGGATTTTTAATTATATTTTTTCAAAAATGTTTAAAACTTGCAAGTGTGCTTTCGACCTTATAAGGTCATTTTCAGATAAAAAAAAAATATATAGAAAAATTACATTAACCTAACCAAAAAATCTTGAAAATGTATAAGTCCTTTTGAGCCTTTATTTTTAGTAAGATTATTGTGAAATTTTCAGGAAATACTAATAACAAAACTTAGGGTGCAGAAACCTTAATTTTTTTGAATACCTTCAGAAAACATTTATTTTGATAATTTATAAAATAAAAGAGTGCGGCTGATCGTTACACACATTTAAAGCTCTTAATATTCTCGAGACATATAACATCACGAAGTATTCCTAGTGGCCCGCATATAAGTTTTTATTAGAAAATCCTTAAAATATTTTTGCTTTCGCGAGAGGTCCGGTTTGCTCTTGTTAGATACCTAATTATATTATTTAACAATTGTGTTTTTCTCTTTTCTTCTTAATTATTCTTTGGACCATTTTGAGATATAGATAATAATTGGTATTTTTTTCTAATAGATCCAAATGCTACTTTTACGACAGTTTTTGAAGTATAAACATTTGATAAATTTATTTTGAATACAGTGGATGCATACGAGTATTCCAATTTGCTATGAATGATAGAAAAAAAATTAGTTGATTTATCTGTAAAGTCCCATGTCATACGTTTCAGAAATCCTAAGAATTTGTTAGCTTTTTGGTATGAATATGCTAATCAAATTTGAAAATTTTCTCAAATCGGCCAATTTTGATACTCTCCCTACTGCTGATCCTTGCATTGTGATGATCACTAATTTTACTAATTGTAATTACCTTGCATTTAGAAAGATAAGAAAGTTATTTATTTTCTAATGACCAATCGGAAATTGAGTCCAAAGTCATTTTGAAAGTTTATATCTGTCATACTGTTACTGTATGTGTATAATTTCCCCTTCTTTGTTGTCAGTGAATTATAGTAATCAGAAGAAAATTTCTACTCTGCTAATTAGTTTAATTCATACTAATGGGAAAAGTTTCATTAGTTTGACTGAACAATGTTGACACAATAATTTAAGCCTTCTGTAAATATTTCTTGTGTCTTAAATTGAAAAATAATTAAAATGTTTCTTTTTTTTAGGCCAAGTAACAGCTAAATCGAATATTCTTCAACAAATCGAGGAATTGGGAGACGAATCTGGTTTAGTATGTTGCATCTGCCGTGAAGGATACAAATATCAACCCACTAAAGTATTAGGTCTATATACGTTTACGAAAAGATGTAATGTGGATGAATTTGAATCGAAACCTAGAAAAACCATTGGATATACTACTGTTAGTCATTTTAATATTGTGCACATAGACTGTCATATGAGTGCTGTAAGGTACGTTATCAAATAAGTTGAAATATAACTAAAACCAGCACATTTTTTGGTAAAAATTATATTTTTTATTATAACTTTACTTATAGATTGGCAAGAGCAAGAGATGAATGGGAATCCGCGGCCTTGCAAAACGCAAACACAAAATGTAATGGTCTTTTACCTTTATGGGGACCTCAAGTACCGGAATCAGCTTTTGCTAGTTGCTTAGCACGCCACAATACATATTTACAAGTAAGATTTTATTAACTATTGACACAATATTTTACTTATGATCATTTTTAATTTCTCATTAATCGGTATTCTTTTTAGGAGAGCACCAATCATAGGGACATTGGTCATAGTTCCACAATTCACGATTTGAAAATTTTGTTATTGAAATTCGCGCACGAAAAATCCTTCCATGAAGACACTGGTGGAGGTGGGCCACAAAGTAACATGCACCTTATACCTTATCTTATACATGTAGCTTTATATGTGATAAATACGTAAGTATATAAGTTTATAAAATACTTGAATTGAACTTTAGTAGTTACATATAGATACTTGATTAATTACAGAAAAATATAATCTTATTTATGATGTTCAGTAGCACATTTATACAATTTTCAAGTGTCGAGGACTTTTAACTCGATTCAAATAAAAGTTAATGTGTGCTGCAACAATTTTTTATGTTTTTGTTACAGAAAGTTTTAAATGTTTTAAGATACAGAATAGAACCATTTATTTTTTTGTATCTGTAGTAAAATCTGGGTGGCCACTTTCTGAAAATCAAGGTCCGATAATGAAATAAATCAAAAATCAGGGAAATTTTGCAAATATACTAATGTTAATGATTTTTATTCTAGAAATTTTGCTTTATGACACTGTTTTTGATCTAATGCGGATTATTTGACAAATTATATCGACATATTGAAAATATTTTTGCTATAACCTTGGATTTTTGTAATTGTATAATTGTGAATAAACCAAATCGAATCCCTTAGGGAACGTTTGATTTGGACTGCTTACTTATTGGCTATGATGCCATTTTTTAAAGAAATAGAAAAGAGTTATTACAAGATATATGGCAACAAAATAACATTTAGTTCAGCAAAAAAAAACTAATTACGTTCATTGACATTACAGATTTTAATACTGCTTTTATCAATTTCTTATGAGAGTTAATTTTCTTACAGGACAAGAGTAAACAAACGCGAAGAAGGCAGTTTAGTATCATACTTAGAAACCTCAAATACAGAAAAATGGATAGAATCAGCTTATGAAGCCGAGGGTCCACTCTACTGGTCGACCATGTCTATTTTGCTGCATTCATACCAGCAGTGGCAAGAGCACAGGTTTTCTCATCTCCGTAGGCTGTTAATACTAGCACATACCCGGCATTGTCACTCTTCTGGACCGGTTAAGAGTTTGTCAGACAAACTAGCCAAAGATTATATAGTTTATAAGCCTTACTTGATTTTCTTTGGTTTGATAGATGGAATTTATAATTATCTCTTTAAGGTAAGACTTTTATACATTCTAACTAAACTATTCCATTTTTAGAAATAACTAATACATTAAGGACGGGGTATCCTTCGGATTTCTGAACGAATTAATGCAAATTAGGAGGTGCCGGTATGTACTGGCTAAAGATAAAATTAGTGCAAGTAATTACATAATTCTTTAACTGTAATTGTCGACCATATTCGTCAAAAATAATTATATATGAATTATTATAAGAATATTATTATAGGAATTAATATAGAATCTATTTGTTTGTCCAAAATAGCAGTTTATGCGATTTGACATGGCATTCCAAAGAAAATGATATACATTTCAAATTGATGGATTTCAGAAAATATGCCTTATTTCCACATCCTGAGTGAACCATATATCGTAGGTAAAGGTTGAACTTAGGTCGTCTTACTATTTATTTTTCTTATTTATTAAAATAATTTTGAATAACACCTTTGAGATAAAATAAAATGGGGTTGTTTTTATCAATTTTCAATAGTAAGACGAGCTAAGTTAGATCTTTGTCTTTAATTTGGCCAAAAATTAGACCTTTTAAATACTGTATATTGGGAAATCAGTCAATTTAACTTTTAGTCTATGCATACGGTTTTTATATACAGGGATACCTCGTCCTTAACGTTATTTTTCATTCCTATTTCAGTTTTATTTTAATACTTATAAAAAAAAAATTTTAAATGTGAAGAATCTGATAAGCAGTTTATAACAAATATTTTGTGTATTTTTGTAGAATGTCGGTGGTACTGATGAACAATGGTCAAATAATTTAGCAGACTACATACGCCATAACGATGAAGCTTTAATGAAATCTTCTGAGAAGTTGTTGGCTGCTTATACGGAAGAATTTTTACCTTGTACTTCCTTTACTGAATTCTGTGATGTAACAGGTATGGCTCATACTGTAATTTTCAGTATTATACGTTGACTATTAAATCTGTATTTTTGATAAATGTAAATGTTATATAAATTATTTAAATTTTGATTTGTGTTATAATTTATCTAAAAACTATTTTATTATACGTTTTTTGTAATTCTATTTATTTTTGTAGGTTTGCTAGATGTTATACTCAGTCCTGAAACGTATATTAGTGACCTGTTGAATGGAATATCTTAATGTAAAAATTTTCCGAATTTTAACTGTAAACAAAGGCTGTACACTGTTTTTACTAATTGCTTGCTGCTAGGTTATAACCTAAATGTAGAATATATTTGCTTGTTACTGGAGTTTTAGAAAATACTAAATTATTGTAACTATTATGGATTTAATTATATTATTTGAATTAATTGTAGTTATTATTAAAATGTTAAAATACAAAGTCCTGTTCTCCAGTTAAATAGAAAAATGTCAAAAGTTGGTATTAAAATAAATGTTTCTGTTTCTAGTTGTACTGTTCAGTATTGTATTTATATATTTTTTGCAGCTTGGTTAAGTCTATTCTACAAGTTTATTCGTTATTAATTACCCACCCTTCTGTATCTATAAAATGGAGGAGGGTGGGTTATCCTACCTCACTTAAGACCTCGCTAGGCCAATTGTGCATCCTCCAGGGTCATATAGGACCTGCTTCTCAACTCTTTAAAGCCGTTCAGGTTAATAGCGTCTCCGAGAAGTGTCTCTAGATGCCAACATTTTTTTTGGAAGTGGCCCTTTTGCCAATCTAATGATAAATGACTGCCCACTCCAAACTTTATCATCGATATTATTGCGTGTACAAAAAAGTTTCAAATAAAAGTTGTATGGATATGAATTTTGAAAAAAAAACGTTTTTTAATGAGATACCCTGTATATTACTAAATTTTTTGAATGCTCTTGATGCAAATAGACTCTAGCTAAGCTAGGGTTACTGTAAGTAATGTAAATTTTGCTACTTTTTGATTAATTTGTTATTTTCCGAAATTGGTAGATTTTAGGCTCTCCTGTAAAAATGTTCAAAACTTACGATGTTTTAAAATTAGGCCGACGATATTTACCTAAACTAAAATATTCAACCTTCAATTACTTGAAAATGGCGAATGACATGGTATATTTTTGAAAGTAGGAAAATAAATTCATTACAAATTTTAGTAATAAAGTATTTCATGAAATCTGCAATGCCAGTATATTTTTAATGACATTTTAACCAAATTTTGGTCATACAACTTTTTTTTTTGTCTTTGTGCAATAATAATGACACCATTACGCGGACGACACGCAGGTTTATTTATCTTGTAACATTGAGTCGGTTTCTTTTCAAACGATTGGAAATAAAAATTAGATGATATTCGTCTTTTACTTAGCAACGTAGGTATGGCTGTGGCTCTAAAGAAATCAAATGGAAGATTCACGTGAGGAGAAAAGAGTTTGCCTCTTACTCGAAACACACAGTACATTGGGAACACACCTTTTCTAATAAGGGACAACAAGAAAGGTAAGCAGGCCTTCAAGAGATGCCGCTGCAAAAATCAGTTAAAGTGAGCAATGAACACTTTTGAACCGTTTAAATCTTCAGGTGTGGATGAAATATTTCCTGGCCTGCTTCAACGGGCACAGGAGGAATTACTGCCACATATAATCCGGATATCCCGGAGCAGTCTGGAACTGGAATATATACCAGAATCATGGATAAGAACCAGTCACCTTAATTTCAAAAGTAGGGAAAAATAATACCATACATCCTAAATCCTTCAGACCAATCAGCCTCACATCATTTGTATTAAAAATAATGGAGAAGGCTGTTTATAATTAGAACAGAAATCCTGGAGAGGGTGCCGCTTCACCACAGCCAGCATGCATACTGAGCAGGAAGATCTACAGAAACTGCCCTGGTACAGGCTGACTAATGAAATCCAGGATTTACTGACAAAGAAAGAACCGCTCGTGTGTGCCTTCTTAACTTAAGGCCCCCATTCACATCACTCCAAATGGAATGAATCCGTTTGGACGGCATCCAAATAGATTGAGGTTTCCCATTTATGAAGCGTCCACGCCACAGACTGCTATCAGAGTTCGTTGGATATTTTCGACGTCTGGATATCCAGCAAAACTACCAAGGCATGCCTATAAATTTAACATTCATCCATATGGATTTTATGTTTGGAAACTGTCCATTCACGGGCACTCCAAATGGATGCGTGAATAAAGTAGTTTTTTGTGCTGTGTTCATTCTAACCAAAAATTATCAAGATGGATCATGAAACGTTATTAGATGATGCTGTATGTTTGTACGAGCCCTAACCACTATGTTCGGCCTTTTTATAATTTTATTTCCGTTATAAGGAAACTTAAGGTTTAAAAATTACTTAAATTAATAGTTTTTGATGTTTTTACTATTTGTGAGGCGGTTTGCCTGTAAGGGTACTTGGGCACGTGCCCTAGTATAATAAACAAACAAAAAAAATAACTTACATATTTTATATTTTCCTCAATGCCTATTATTATTATTTTATCTAATATTCAGCGAAAAACAAGGACAACGACAATATCGCTTAGCAAGAGATGAACACATGCGATGGATTATACGTCACAAGCGGGGCGCTGTCCTAGACCAAATATGAATGTACGCAGAGGCATCTTTACCGGCTCCCTCACATAGGCGAGCCGGTTTCGGCTGAAGGTGCGCGTTTGTTGGACCATGATAATTATTTATTGTGATTACGAAAAAAACGTCAGTTGGACCATTGGAATTTTTTTCTATGCAAATACTCTCTTCAATCCAAAAAGTTTCAAGTTCCAATTCATTCAGACACTACCAGGTACTGAAGACTCTGAAGAACAGTTTTGACAATGAGGAAATAGTTTGTAATACATAATTTGATTGAAACGTAATACATGACTTCTTGAAATTGTGAAATTAAAAAAGTATTACTCTGCTTATATTATTCAATCTAACTTTTCCCTCAAACTCAAGATTACTTACCTAAAGTATTTAAAATGTTTTCTTCTTGAGGACATACATATATAAAGTAAGTAGATACTGTGAACTTTTAATAGCCTCTAAATAAGACAGCTAACGTAACATTTTTGTAATACCGTACTACCACGGACCAAAAAATAAATGTATTACAATTAAATCGTTGAATTTCAAAACCGTAAATGTCCAAAAGTCCAGCTAAAAATAAACATTTTCAATTAAGATTTTGTGTAAAATATTTTATCGATGAGGTATAAAAACCGCATGGTATATAATCTAACAATTAATGTTTATTTTAAATTACAATTTTGTTTAAAATATATAATTTCATCGATGAGGTATTAAAACCGCACGGAGTGCCTAACCATTAACGTTCTGTATGGTTTTAAAACTTTTGTGTTAATTAGGTTTTTAATATATGTTACATATAGTTTTTGTTTGGACTTGTACAATTTTTGAACTTACCGAAACAATAGTAATACGCTGATAACACTGTTGAAGAAGCTTACGAATGTCAAGACAGGACTGCAATGATCACTCTCGGATATATTCGGTGTTAATCGGAAGCCGCAACTGTAGATTGCTGGCATGGATGCGTCGTGAATGGTGGTGCACATTAAAACTCGGGGTTTCCCATTGGTATAGCGTCCACCGTCCACGCCGCAGACTGCTACCAGAGTTCGTTGGATGTTTGGATATCCAACAAAACTGCCACGCTAAAACATTCAGTTTTGAACATTCATGGAGGGATTTTGGAATGCACTCACCCAATTTGGACATTTTGCGTGCTCGTAAATGGGGGCCTTTAGACATAGACACCATGCCACACGAATCTGTCAAAAGAGCACTCGCATATAGGAGTAGATAGAACATAGAACCACATCCAGATGGGTGGCTCAGCTGCTAAACACGAGAAATGCGAAGACAAATAGGGAAGGACACCATTCCCATCTACACAACCACAAGATGTTACAAGGAGGAGTTCTATCCTCACCACAGCCACTAATGTTGAGCCTAAAATATTATGTGTGATATAGTACAAAGAGAACTAAAACACACCAAAAGATGGTACCATGAGGTGGTACTTAGTAAACTCACCAAAACAACACTAGTAGCCTTTTCAAGGAAAAAAAAAAACATAAAAACTGTCAAATTAGACGGGATAGATATAGAATGGAAAAAAGAAGTCCAATATCTAGGCCGAACCCTGGACAACCAAATTCTCTGGTTACTTAATTACATGAGAAGGAAGTAGTAAATAAGACCAGAAAAGCCCTAGTGTAACCCAAGCATCTTGCGATGGATGTATACAGCAATAGTGAGATCAATCATCACTTACGGGGCTGTAGACTAAAGTATCGGAACTAGTTTAGCTACTATGAGAACTAATATTTCAAAAGTACAAAGAAATTAGCTTCAGGATCGAAGATACTTGGTATATGCCCCAGGACGAAATTGGAAAGAAGTACAGATTTTTGAAAGAATCAAAACCACAGAGCTGGGCTGCAAGAAAAAAAATGTAGCCAGGAATCCATCGTGCTTCCAACCGAAAGACATGCTTATTCAGTGGTATACGGATGGTTCCAAAACCATATAAGGAACTGGAATAGTAGTGCATGGGCCTAAAACCGGGTAAAAACGTGATTGCAACCGAAAGACATGCTTATTTAGTGGTATACGGATGGTTCCAAAACCATATAAGGAACTGGAATAGTAGTGTATGGGCCTAAAACCGGGTACTCTAAGAGTTTGGGTAAATACCCAAGCATCTTCCAGGCGGAAATTCACGCCATTGAAAAGTGTATCCAGTTCAACATCGAAAGAAACTATTGCAGACAAGAGATTATTATCATGTCCGATAGCCAAGTAGCCATCAAAGCACTGATCTCTTACGTAATCAGTAAAGACCGGACATTTTAATCGCGTTCAAATAATTGGTTTTAATCACATAGGCGTCTCATTCTGGGTTCGCTATTTAAGACGGCAGACAGTGCGGCAGATTCTAATACTATCAGGACAAACCTCTTTTTTTTATTAAAACAAGATAAAAAAAGTGTACTGATATATACATAGACATTAAAACTAATACAAAAAAGTGAGATTTTTTTTTATCGTGTACCTATATTCTTTGTCTTTTGAATCATTTTCATTAAACAAATTTAATGTTTTCTTCTCACCAACGCCGAGGATATGTAGGATATTTTACAAAAGTTTTTAGTAACCTCAGATCCTTTAATTTGTGGCCTGAGAAATTTTCCTTAAAAAAAAATAACTTTTTTGATGAAGATGTTAAACTTTTCATAAGCGAGTTTAAGGTGTAGTAATGTAAACGATATTCTGTATGATATTTTTTTTATTATTATCTCTTATATAATTACAAAATATCTATTCCTCAATATTTTGGCGTGGTACACTACTCTCCTGCCTAAAATGAGGATCGAGGACCCCAGCTGCCTCCCCCGAATTTGTTATTTCCTCCA